TTTGTATCTTTTATACTACTTTTATCTGAATGAGCTTTAGCTAAGAGAGAACCTGAACTTTCCATTCCAGTTCTTTCTTTGTGTTGGGCCACTCCATTGCTTGTAATAAAATTACACGCACTTTGCTTACTACCATGTGGAGACATTCACAGCTGACTACAATGTAAAGAAAAAGCAGGTATAAAATGTGTGCATGCCTTCAAGTCCCCTGTTGATCTATGGTGGCCCCAGAAATATAGGGTTTTCTTAGGTAAGGAATGCTCAGAAATTATTTGCCATCACTTTCCTTTGAAATTTAGACTACAGCGCCTAGCATAAAACAGAGCAAAATAGTTATTGAGACCAGAATAGAAATGTTCTTCATTATCAAACAATGCTGAAGAATATTTCTAAAAATCATGTTTACTCCTTCTTTTTCTTGACAGATGGCATTTGGAATAGTAAAATCCTCTGGGGATCAGCCAGTTCCTCCAGGGTTGCAACACTGCTGGAATGGATGCCTCAGAGATTTTATGTTCCTGGGTCCTCCTGGCTCTGAACATGTTGACCTTTTTTTCAATAAAGATTTTGCACTAGTTTTTAGCTTTACAAAACCATCAATGTTTCTGGGATATCTGAGGAGTGAGATTTTTTTTACTGCACTAATACAATTGTAAAATAAAATCCTACATTACATTACGTGTTTTTTCACCCCTAACAGTGCAGCTATGTCCTCAATCACACTTGAACTTTAAGCATAGCAATTGAGGAGGAAAGACAATTCTTTTAAAACAAAAACAAAACAGCTCTTTTATTATAGTTTAGTAGCTAAACCACACAAAGCGCTGAAATCCTGCAGACATCACATTTCCTTCATGGGTTCAAATGCTCCCTTTTTTACCTCCTATCTTAGAAGACATGAAACTAAGAATATCTTTGTTTCTGTAAAACACTTTCTCTTATTGCTTGATAAGATTATTGCTAGTTTACCCACTAATAATGTTAGTCCTAGATATGAAAGTGGGTGGATCACAGGCATGGGTAAACTTTGACTCTCCAGGTGTTTTGGACTTCAACTCCCAGAAATCCCAGCCAGTTTACCAGCAGTTAGGAATTATGGGACTTGAAGTCCAAAACACCTGGAGGGTCTAAGTTTGCTCATGCCTGTTGTATCATTATTCCTTGAACCACAACTGTAAAATATTTCCTCATTTCCCAGACTAAGATTATTGTTAGCTCACCCACCCAAGCAAATAAAGCAGAAATGCTTTCACAATGCACACACGTTTCCACAAGGGAACAATGAAGAATCTGATCATCAGCTATTCAGAACAGATAAGTACAATTGATATGCAAGGAACACGAATCACTTTTTTGGTAAATAGGACCCTTCATCTAAAATACAATGGCAAATGCAAACTTTTCCAGAATTATGTGTATCCTTGCACATGGAAATAACAAGATTAAACCTGTTTCATTTAATATTTCTGGACAATGCTACAGATGTTACTTTTCATGACCCTGCATCAAACCTTGCTTTTTCTTCTTTTCCCAATACTTTTTTTTACAATACAGATGTGGGGTTATGAATTTTCAATCTAAAGTCGCTTAGATGAATTGTATCCCATGCAGCTTCTTGGCCATAATCAGCTGTGGCACAGAAATAGATCTGGTTGATTTTCAGCAAGCAACAACAGCCTCTGAGTAACGTGTTGTCAGTTGCTATGTTCAGTATGCTTTAGAAATACAGACAGCCCTCAAGTTACTAACATCCGACTTACAAAATAAAGAACAGGGCTTCATAGTAACGAACAGGGCTAAGACAACAGAAAGTGGGAGAAATCTACATCTGGAAAGGGAAATTTAATCTAGTAAGAGTTATCATGGGGAAAAGGTGTTTCAGTTGAAGCTTTATAATCAGTCCTTGATTCCATAACAAGCCAAATTATTTAGAATTCAATTACCACAGGGACGGAAAGTGAGGGGATAGCTTCTGAACAGATGATAGACAGCAAAACAAATACCACAGGGGTGTTATCCCCTCCCTATGCTATCCAAAGCTATATATATTTGGCTGGAGTTATACCTTAAAATGCCCTTGTTCCAACTTACAAAAAATTCAACTTAAGAACAAATCTACAGAACCTGTCTCGTTTGTAACTTGGGACTGCCTGTAGTTTGGATGGATCATGTTACAAATGTGAGCTTTATTCTTCTGTAGGGACAAAGGTCTCTTTTTAAGCAGAAGCCCCTAGGAAATCCTCAGACAATCCAACTTGTTTCTGCACTTACTGAGACTTATTTTGGCAGTTAATCAGTTCAACCAAGTATGTGTTGAAAGACATCCTTTAAGGAGAGAAAAAACTGATACTGTATTTACACACAGATCAATGTCCAATTACAAGCAGAGAGTCACTGTGCTAAAAGAATAGGGGATCACCTTTGCCATTTATTACTTAGAAAATAAACTATTTGTGAAGTCTTCTTTGAAAACATATACTGAATAAATTACAATGCAACATCCTAAATATTCTACACAACAAAATATATTGGATTCTTGACATGACCAAGAAAATGAGACAAGCATGCATTTGCTGATGAATGTGATACAACTCTGACTATGCTGGAGGCAAAGAGCTAGTTCTAATTAATCACCAATTAATAGAAAGCTTAGAATGTATTCCTGCTTAATTATAAATATAGCTTCTCATTAAGAAAGACTTAATTAATCAATTTTTAAAACATCCTCAGTGCTGTGAATCATTTTCCACAGAACAAGCTGAAATGACTAACGGAGATGAGAAACAGAATTCAAAATAATTCAGCTGTGTTCCTCCTCACTGTCTGGAAGAGTACAAGCAAAATGTACAACACAGAGAGAGGAGATACAGCTGGTACACTCAATTTGGCTACCTCTAAAATTGTGGGTTTCTTTTGAAATAAACAGCACTTGAAATCAACCAAATCAGATATACATTTGAAGGAACAAAAATGCTTATTTCTACTAAAATATAAGCCAACTGAGAATAGATGTCACTATTCTAGTTTATCGTATATACTCATGTGTAAGTCAACCTCTGGGATAGGTTTTGGGAACAAAATTATGGATTATGATATGACCAGTGGTATGTCCACAGAAAAGGCTCAACATCAATGCTGTGGTGGGGAGCCCCTGTCAACTGTAACTGAGGCATTCAATATGGCCAGAAGTGTTACTATAGAAGGGCTTGGTGCTTCTTTTACTTTCTCCCAGGATGATCTAAGTTTTTGCCTTACACCATTCTACTCAGAAAAGGGGATGGTTCCTTGTTTTAGATATGAGTTAAGGTACAGTCCTCTCATTGAGAAGCACTTCTGGATAAGTCAACACAGGCTTTTTGGGTTTATTTCTTTAGCTAAAATATCTAGACTTATACATGAGTATATAGGGTAAATAAATTCATTTGTGTTACAAACCTCTACCAGTGACTCCATCCCTTTGTAAAGTGTAAGTGATATTGTAAAGTGATTGATTAACTAGGGGGTAAGTTATGCAGTCTACTGAGAACTTGGTCATATATTCTAGTGTTTGGATGTTCACTGAGGCACCTCTATAAATTCTTTAATGAAGTACAAGCTCCCTAAAAGGTGAAGTGTCCACCATACTGACTTTTATTTATGGACAATTTCAGGGTGTACTGTAAAGTGCATGCTTAATTCACATGAGCAACATAAGGCCCTAGAGGGCATGATTTTTGAATTAATTCTGCATCGTGATTCAGACTTCACTAAAGCATGATCTCAGGGTGCCTTAGGAGACCAGGCAGTGAGGAAAGTGTTCCATGAAGACAGAAAAACAAAAACAAACACATCAGTCATACAGAGACAATCCACTAGAATTTGCTGAAAAGACAGAGATATACAAAGCAGCAGTATGTGCTGATATAAAGCTCTGTCAATATTCAACCATTTAGTAGTTCAAAATTAGCCTCAGTCATTTAAATTGAGTGCAGTGGATCTTACTGCCAGTTATAGGCTTGGGTACAAAAAGTACAAGATGATCCTTTATTGGGATGTTTGTTGGTTTCAAATATTTATTCTTCCCATATTGCTAAAAATGAAAATACATAATTATGTCATAGTTTATTCTCATAGTTTATTTGCCACACTTAACAAATGCAGCTATCACAGAACAGATGAGTCCTAATGACTTTCTAACCATAAGCCTTTTGTCATTGGGAACCATTGATGTAAGCAGCATTGCAACTAAATGACGAAGGCTGCATGTGGTAAGTCAAACTAGGGCAGTGGTTCTCAACCTGGGGTCCCCAGATGTTTTTGGCCTACAACTCCCAGAAATCCCAGCCAGTTTACCAGCTGTTAGGATTTCTGGGAGTTGAAGGCTAAAAACATCTGGGGACCCCAGGTTGAGAACCACTGAACTAGGGATTTAGCCTTGCAAGTGCCATTAGACTCTCTAAGACAAAATGGCAGTATTACTATACATTTCTTTAAAAGTCTTCAAGAACTAAAATATACATACATACCAGGATCCAAATAGATTCTTTGCAGTGATTTAGGCAGATCCAACTGTATTTTTGTCGTTTTCCTTTCAAATAGCCAACATTTGTGTCATATCACTAAATATTCCTGAAAATCTCATCCAACCCATGGAACTAGTCATACAGGTTCTTTGGATCCCATTTATAAAAGTGCACATGGCTGTTAATTTTGATACCATCTTTTTGGGACTAAATAGTCAGGAGAATTGCATGTTATAGCTAAAATTTGGAATGCATGTACTGCGTCTCTGCAGAAACAGGTAAACAGCTATATCTGTCTCCATGTGTAATACTTTGCATATACATACTATGTGTATATAAATGCACACAGCAAAAACACATGAGAGCATGTGTAGGCACTGGAATATTTAGTGTTTCCCGTGATAGCATTATCAATGGACTTGTCTAGCATGAGAAACTGTCAGTGGTAACAGGTTTCTAATCATTACAGTCTTTGCACATTGTGGTTGCTTCGCTCACCTTGTTCAAGTGGCTGGCTTTTAGTTGAAGTTGTTTTCATCTTGAGTGCCTCTCTAACAGACATGTCGCAACAGGAGCCTTTGTTAGTATCTTGGTCACTGTCAGCTTGGTCACTGTCCCCATGCCCGCTGTCTCTCAAACTGGCTCGCTCAGGGTCCTTGAACGTGGAGCTACTGTTATTTGTGAATTTTAAAAGAGAGAGAGAGCAAGAGAAAGAGAGAGAGGGAGAGAGGGAGAGAGGGAGAGGGAGAGAGAGAGAGAGAGAGAGAGAGAGAGAATGAATGTGTTAACTTGTATTTACTTCCCCCAATTTGAATTGTACTCTCTGGCAAAGCAATTTTTGACAAGAATGCAAATGGGGAAGCCCAGAAAAGTTATTTAATAGGCCTTACCTTTGAACAAACTGCTGCCTGCTGCCCATGTAATTGGGCTCTGCGGGAAAATTGTCTGTCTGTGAAAGAGAAGGAAAAAAAATACATCTAGTTGTACACTGGACAAATCTCCTGCAGAGCAACAAGATTTCCTAGAGAAGGAATGATTAATAATTCAAAAAATAATTTTTCCCCTTAATCTTCAGATTTGTACATTTTAATTAAATTGAAAAATGCTGGTATAATTATGTACTCAGAACAATTAAGTGATCCCGGTCCACAAATTACCTGCTAAAACAAGCAAGGAAGATTTACACAAGTGACATGAAAATATGTTTGGCAGCTAGGTAGATGCTAAGCTGATCTTAACCTTTATATTAAAGCAATTTCAGATGACAACATTTTGCTCACAACAGCTTAACACAGAATATTGCATGTCAGAATTGCAACATTCCCATATATTGTCAGACCAAGTATTTGCCATGCGTTTTTTTATTGAATTGCTTATCTATAAACCCTCAGAGTACTATATATACTCATGCATATAGCTAGAAACTGTAGTCAAAAATTGACTTTAAAAATCTGGGTTGACTTATCCATAGGTGAGAGTAAGGACTGTGTGCCTGAACTCCTATCAAAAAAGGAACATTTTTGTTCTCTGAGCTTAAAGACAAGAAATTACTCCATTCCAAGGGAGCCTAAAATAATAAAAGAAGCACTAACCCCCCCCCCCCCACACACACACACACACACACACAACCTGGTGCTGTTTTGGTCCATTTTGAATGCATCGGTAGGGAAATGTCTGTAGTGAGTAAGAGCAACTAATCCCTGAAGTTGCCTTTTCCCCTGCATGAAATGACCCTAAACTTCCCCACTGGTTATATAAAAATCAGTAAATTTAGTCCTCCAACCTGCCCTTTTCTTATATATGAGTTGACGTATACCCAAGTATATATAGTAGATGTTATGGAGAATGGCTAGCTATCTTTTACATTGATGCAGTAACCTTCTATACATACCCACTTCCCCAGTAAATGGTTAGTCATCTCACTACCACACTTTCTGCTTTGAAGTAGCACATCCCAGAAACCAGTGTACTATGTTAAGAGCTATACTCAGGCACCTGCTAACAAGCTCAAAAATGGTATTCTCATGCAACAACCAGCTACTACCCATTAGCTACTGAAAGGAAGGAGCCTCTCTCTTCTCCCTTGGAACTACTTGCCTGAATATGTGACATAGTGTTAAACTTAAACTGTGAAAAGGGCTGTGTGCTTTTCCATTTTTCCTGTTCTTAAATGGAGAGTGACTGTGCAAAAAAAGAGAGAAGAGCCTCAACAGTTACCTCCACACTCAGAAAAGATTTTCTGTTTTAGAGTGCTATATTTTTAAAGCTTAGTGTGAACAGGGCCCAGATGATCAACACATGAATTCTGCGATTTGGCCCACACATTTTAGTGATTTGACATCATTCAGACAACACATTATCTTGTGTCAATCAAATATGAATAAAATCTGGATTGCAGTCAATTAAGCTGAACTTGAATGTTTAAGTGTAGTAGAGGTTGTTTGAAGCCACATTTCATGCCTTGAAAACTAGTGATGGAAAGATTTTTTTTATTTTTTAAAATAGTTAAAATGTCTTTTTCACCCCAAATATATATATTTTTAAAAAACCTGTTTAGAGAACACCAGAGTGTCCAGAACCTTTGCAGGAGCTATTCTGTGCAAAATGGATACTTTTAAAAATATTTTCTGCAGATAAAAAGCAATTCTGCAACAAAATATGCGAATGTTGCATTCAATAAATCCTGAACAAAAGCAAGCAAATTGCTAAAACTACTCATCATTTTCTTTTACAAGGAAAATAGTAAATAATTGCATCTTTATCATGAGCATGTTTTTTTTGAAAATGCTGAATTTTCTACTCAAATGAAATATTTGATTTTTTGCAGTAAATTTAAGCAGGGCAACAACATACTCAGTTCTCATTATTTGTAGACAGGAAGAATGAGAACACATGTTTCAGCCCCACTCTCTCTACCCATGATTTTCCTATGATGACAGGGAGCACTTGAAAGAGAAGCATGTTTGAGATAATGTGGTTACAAAGCTCTGCTTGACTGGAAATTTGGATAATATAGAGATAAATATGAATCCAGCCATCTACTTGGTATACTGGCTTCTTATGTGCTTGGAATTATTTTTAATTATATATTTAATAGAGAAGCAATCATTCTATTTGATATTTTACCTGTTCTTCCAGGAAATTAATCCTTTTGTCCAAACCCCTCCTGTGTGAGTTAATGTTATTTCTAAATCTGTGGCTACTGTATAGATGTACCTTACTAAATACCTTTCTTAGCTGTCTAAAGGGCAACTAAAATTGCTGCCATTCTTAATAGCATCAACTTCTAGCACCCTAGTACCTATACTATACCTATAATGACCTCTTACACAAACTACAACATTCCTCCTAAGTTACAAACAACAATTCCAGGTGATTTGGGTTAGCAGCTTGTGTTAAAATAAAACTAAGGAAACAAGCACAAGCATGATGGATGTGCTTGTCTGTAAATCTCTAGCAAACCCACACTGGCTTTAATAAGTGCTTTGAAGCACTGGCTCAGATACAAACATGGCAAATTAAAGAGTTTGGTGTTTGTTTTTAAACAGTTGGCTTTCATCTGTTTAATCAGTAAAAAACAATCAAACGGACTCGGTCTAGTTAAAATTAACATCCATTTTAGAGGGATGTTACAATGCATAGTTCCAAAAACAGTGGATCTTCAAACAAGTATTTGTATTTGACTGGATCTTAAGCTTTAGTTAAATAATCACTGAGGATCAGTTTTAACCAAAGTCCATTGAGAACACATGGGTTTTTCTCAGGTGATATAGCTGACACATTTCAACTGTTAAAGTGAGGAAGCCAAAAATATTCAAGAATCTATTTTTTCCAAGCTGCAAGGAGAGCTTTCAAATTTTTAGTTTTTAATTATGCCACACATTTAGATATACAGGTTACTAACCAAGTAACTGTAGTCACGTGTTTACATATACAGTTTTTTTGTTTTTTAATCAAAATTAAGATACTGATAGTAGCTAAACTTAATTGCATTGTATAAAATTAAAAATAAATGAGTAGTTGGCCCACCAAAAATCACCTTTAATCCACTAACTACCAAAAAATATAAAAAATGGTGAGCAAAATCCAGGCACAGTTAAACACTTCTTGCACTGCCATATAATACAATTTCAAATTGCATTATATGGGCAGCGTAGACTATGGTATCCTTCTGGGCTGTCTCGCTGGGTTGGAACTGGGAGGCATTCTCATACAGTGACAACATTCCTTCCTACTCAGAAGGCACTGCTAGGGAACTCCTGTTCAAACCTCTGTCCATTGTCCTGTGGCTTTCCTCAGGGTTATGTTTTGTCTCCCTTGCTATTTAACATATACATGAAACTGCTGGGAAAGGTAATCTAAAGTTTTGAAGTGTGGTGCCATCTATATGGAGATGACATCTGACTCTACTACTCCTTCCCACCTAAAGCCAAAAAAGCTGTCCTGACTCTAAACCAGGCAAAGCACCCCACTTTGCCTGGATTCGCTGCTAGACAGAGAGGGCAGCAGGGTGAATCTGTAATCCCATATGTCGCTCCCTTGAGACGCTTTCCCTGTCACATGTGGGAAGTGTCTTTCTCTTGGTCCAATCTCCACCTCAAGCTCAGTTGGTGGGAACAAGAGAAAGGGCCTCCTTAGTGGCTGCCCCTCGACGATAGAACACCCTGCCCAGGGAAGCCAAAATGGCCCCCTTCCTGCTGTCTTTCCGGTGTTAGGCTAAAACCTTTTTATTCAGGCAGGCTTTTAAAGAAGAAAGTTTTAAAGATCAAATCAGGGGATTCTGTGATTTTTAGCTCTGAATATGTTTTTATAGATTTTAATTAATTTTTAAAAGTACCACAAATATTTAATTCGGTTTTAATGTTCTTATATTTGTAGATTTTAAATTGTATTGAAATGCTTTTAATGTAAGCTGCTTTGAGTCTTCTTGTGGAGAGAAAAAGTGGGGTATAAATAAACATAATAATAATAATAATAATAATAATAATAATAATAGTTTAACCACATTATATGGCAGTGTAAATGGGGCCTAGTTTTCATTGAATGCACCCAAACAACTAGACTGCATTTCTACATGTCTGCAAGGGATCAACTGAAGTTGTTGGGGCTCCATGCTGGAAAGAGCGCACGTGGTTGTATTATCGAACATGAGCTTAAGTCCTCAGCTGAAATTAATAGGATTCTGAAAGGCTTCTCATTGGACTGCTTGCACCCTATGTTTGGTAATACTCCTGCTATAAACCGCTAATAAAGTACAAGATAACTAAAGAACAGAGGACATTTACAGGACTTCTGGAAAGCGGCCAACATCTAGAACTGAATCACCCTTGTATTATCTTCTGCTAGAATTCTTTGAGCTAAAGAGAATGAGGAGGGAGCTGGTATCTTTCACAGAATTCCAGCCACAGTTTATACTTGTCACTGATCTTTGCAGCTGACTTGGTGACAAGGCTCCTACTGTGTTCTGCATCACTTCATGCTGTGACTCTGTGCTCTGCCACTGCTATGAGCTCTGCAACATTATCTAGGGCTATGGTGCTCAATGTGTGAGGGAAACACAGCAAGTTGCAAGATGTGCAGGACTGGACAGGGCAGAACAGGAATTGACCATCCTTTCCAACATTCTGGACACTCTTTGTTCTGAGTAGCTAATGTGCATGAATAAAATAGTGTGCAGTGTTGGAACCAGCAGCACTGGATATCTGCACAGACTTCACCCATTGTGATGTCATTCTGGCCTTCCCAGGATAATATTAACATGCCAAATGAACAAACTAAGAAAAACAGTGTCCCACATTCTAATAGTGAATGCATTCACTGAGTGCAGGACCTTACATAATCAAAGCAGTGTTGTCCATAAGCAACGGTGGGTTGTCATCTTGTTTGGGGAAAAAACACTATGATTTACAAAAATAATGAAAACAAATTGGAAACTGTGGCTGCTAAGTG